GTTTTAAGAAAATACATGGGACTTCACAAGTTTCGTTATATTTAATACGGAAAATCTTTATGGCCAAAATTATGGAACAGAGCATGTTATCAAAAATGGATAGATTTCTTCAATAAGTTTTGTGTGAATTCCAATGATTAATACCCAAAAGACTAATAGCCAAAGACTCTGTGACTAGAGGGAGGAAGTGGGGTGAGGGAAATCAGCCTTGAGCCAGTAAGCCTCTCCACAAATCTTGGAGCAGTATTTGAATCTGTATAGATATTTCAGAGCGCTAGGTTAGGCAGACTAGGGTGTTAGTCCCACAGGCTGACAAATCCCAGCCATTTCCAAAGTCCTCAAACAAAGGGTCATAGGAGCCCTGTGCTGTGACTCCATTGTACAGTGGGAGCAGTGTGGGAGGACATGACCAGAAGACAGGCTTAAATGTCCTCTCTTTTATTCACAGAAGTTTACAATCTTAGTGATGGGTTCTCACTCCACATCTTAGAACCATCTTTCCAACCACAAAATATTCATGGGCACTTCTATCCTATCCTATCCATCCTACAAAACCTGCTCCAAACTCTACCTCCTCTATGGAAGTCTTTCCTAACCATCTTCACAGAAATGATCTTTTCCTCTGAAGTGGTGTGTTAAAGGTTTGCTTCTGCAAATATCTTAGAGGTCAGGAGTTGGGTATAAACTATATGTATTCTGTTTGTTGCAAAGAAATATTTAGAATATCAACTCTACTTCATGGCTCTAGTGGTTTCTTGGAATTGTTATTTAGCTTCTCATGTATTCACATCTTACATTTTGCAATAAATAGAACTCATACTCAAATATTAAAAATACACATTCGGGGCTGTGGAATTCAGTGGTAGAGCACTTGCTTAGCCTACATGAAGCCTGGGGTTTGATTCTCAGCATTGAAAAAAAATCACACCCACGTTCAAGGAGTACTTTTTATGCCCTATGGGTATGTTCCTGCCTAGAAAAGCTCTGTATTTCCCACAGTCTGCTGACGGACACCTCAAAAAGATACATCCAGTTGTGGTAGCGCACACCTGTAAATCCCAGCTACTCAGGTGACAGAGGCAGGAAGATTCCAAGTTTAAGGCCAGACTGGGCAACTCGGTGAGATGCTATTTCAAAATAATATTTTTTTAAAATAACTGGAAATGTAGCTCACAGGCAGAGCCCTAGCCTAGCATGTATGAGGCGCTGGGTTCATTCCCAGCACACACACACAGACAAAAAAAATACAGACAATGATACACTCCAGTCATTCCTCATGCAATCAGTCTCATTTCTTTTCTTATTCCTCTTTCCCATCATCTTTATTTCAATCATATAAACACCTCTTTGAACTTCTGTATCCCAATGATACTATTTAATAAATCAGCACTAGCAAAAAAAAAAAAAAAGGTTGCTCTCCTGATATGTGTATTGATGTACTGCTTTTTAAAAGGCCCAGTTTTATGCTTCAGTTTATATTTATTACTATTAGTGTCACTGCGCTCTTGTTAATGTCAATGTAAAGCAGTCTGTGCATTTATGAAACAAAGATATTACATCTGTCCTAAAACTTTTCTTACTCATCCAACAAAATCAATTTCTTCATTATCTCCCCATCCCTTCCTCCAACTAGAGCGAAAACTTCTCAGGAAGGGATACAAGGATTCTCTTTTGGTCAATGCTGTGTCCCTGGTGTCCACACAGTGGACTCAGCAGATACTGTTAGAATGAATGGGGGTTGAGTGAATCTCCAGAAAGACTCTCAGATTCTGCACCTCCCGGTTTCTTCCCTCTGCTAATGGTAGATGGTCAAGAATAGGAATGCTAAAGTGAGTTCCATTAGGACTCAAATCACTGGTTCACATCATATAGGGGTATAATCTTGAGCATCTTGCCTGCCTTGAGCAATCTTGCCTGCCTTCTCTCCATCTCAGTCTTCCCATCTGTAAAAGGATAGGGATATGCTCCTGATGAGCACTGAGCAATTACATGTCAAGAACTCAGCACAGCAAAGGGCACCCAGTAATTGCTAATCATGGCTCTTTTGTCCCTTTGGATCAGTGCTATCTGTACCTTTCCCTTCCTCGCCTCCTAAAAGACTAGAATTTCACAACAAAACTTATTCTGACTGAAACTCAAGTTAATGGGCTTCAAGTAAGAGCCTGAAAGTTTTTTCCTATGAATCAAGTCTATGCACTTGAGGAACAAAGCTTAGGCTCCCCCTGAGCAGCTCAGGGCCTCTCTGTTTCTGTATTTCCTCTTGGTTTTCACCTCTGATCAGACATACTACATGGCCCAACAGCGCAGTTCTGTCCAGGCTGCTGTCAGAAGAGTTGCTTTTTACAAGCCATAAGCCAAATGGCCTATATTATACAAATTAACAGGGAGAAAAGCCTTGCTATGTCACTCTCTGTCTTGAAAAATGTATGAAAAGACCTTTTCAAGGATCTTCATATGCCATTCTGATTTTAGGAGATATTCTGTAAACTAAATACGGGCCCAGGAGAAACCACTATCCTTAATGTACATATTATTACTCCAATTTTGAATATCACTAGCTCTCTTAAAATGGAGGAAATGTCAACACTACCTGCATTGGCAGTCATTTTAATTGTTTGTTTTGCTCTTACAAATAAGAAAGTGCTCAACTAAATATTTCTTTAGAACAAACAGAATACCTATAGTTCACACCCAGATTCTGACCTCAAAGATATTTTGCAAAAGCAAATCTTTAACACACCAAAAAGAGAATCCCTGTATCCCTTCCTGAGAAGTTTTCACTCTAGTTGGAGGGAGGGATGGGGAGATAATGCAGAAATTGATTTTGTAGGATGAGTAAGAAGAGTTTTAGGACAGATGTAATAACTTTGTTTCATAAATGCACAGGCTGCTTTACACTGACATTAACAAGAGCACAGTGACACTGATAGTAATAAATATAAACTGAAGCATAAAACTGGGCCCCATAAAAAGTACATAAATATTAATATCAAATGTCATGTAAAATAACTGGCTACATTGAATACCTTTTTCTCTTTATTGAGTTGTTTTAAATTCCTACAAACTTTGCTCTCTCTGCCACAAATAATTTTGTATTATAGGATGAAGAATTAACATTAAGCTTCTGAATTTTAACTAGTTAGAATTTCCTGATCACTAAACATGTTCAAATGAGACTCATAATTAAAAACCTGCAAAACTCACAGACTAAGCAAGCACAGAAGAGAGCAGAAAGAAACATTTTTAAGCATCCACTTCACGTGGCAAAGTCATAACTGAAAAATGTGATTCCTGCTTTTAAAGCACTGGTCTTTGAGAAATGCCAACAAGGCAGACATATCAAGTTCACCTAACTCGGAAATAATCACCAGCCTAACTAAAGTAAAGGAACAGCTCTGGGCCCCACTACTGAACTGTACAAACAGATGATTACTGGTCGTGCCAGCTGTTTTCTGCAGTTCTGCACAATTCAAAGTACACTCTATGGCAGAAGGGAAGCAGAATTTAATAACAGATGATTTTTTTTAAGTTAATGATTCAGGGAGTTCTTAGAAAAGCTTCTACTTGAGAAGATGTCACTAAGAGGTCCTGTTAAAAGATACTCCCCGTCTATTAGCTCAACTCTGGAAATTCCCTCTTTCTTGTCCATTCCCGGCCATCCCAAAATCCAAATAACAAAGTTCACTGACCCTGGAGGGTACTTTTTGACTCCCACGAACTCAGAACTCTAGCTAAATATTCATTCGGGCTCCCAATAAACGTTTACTGAATTAAACGGGAGAAACGGCACTGGAAACCTAGGCTCCCAGAGCCACTGCCGGCTCCCTTGCCCCGCCCCCTTCTTCCTCTTATAAGAGGAAACTGCGAAGTCTTGAGCTGAGTCAAGTCATCCAGGATCCAGGGTCCTGGCAATAGGCCCAAAAAGCTATGAGAGCCAAGGGATCTGGGTAGTGGTTCCACACTGGGGCACCCACTGCCCTGGGAAGTGAGGGTCGCTTGCCAGGATACTAATCATACCCCTGGGAGCGGAACCAGATGGTTGGGAACCCAAGTCATTTGTGTACTGATCCCAGGCCCCAATCCCTTTCCACCACACTCCTTCCTGTTTATGGATCCTGCTCCTACAACTCCTAACTACCAAAGAGAAAACAGACGTCTCGGAAATATGTCAACACATGACATAACTTGAAAAAGCTGGCTGCTTATTGGCGCGAGTTACAACTTGCCGGGTTCACGCTGGAAAACCGGCTCGCTTTAATTACTTTTCTTTCACTAAGACATGCTTCCCTCCAGGGGCCCCGCAAAGGCCCAGTTACCGAGACCAGGTAGTCTGGGAGACAGGGCCCAAATTGTGTGGGCGGTGGGCAAAACCAAGGAAGGAAAGACTCGATCGCTTCCAAAGCGACAGGCGCCTCGGATTCACGACAATCGCGGTGGTTCTGCTCGCTCGCACAGGCGCAGGAAGAGGAAGAAGGCTCGGCACCTCCTTGCAGGCGCCACCGAGCTGCCAGACATCGCCAAGCGGCCCCGCGGTCCCGCGGTCCCGCGCCGATGCCCTAGGGTCGGACGAGGGCGTACCACCTTTGTCTGGCTTTCCCCACCGGAGCGGCGACGCCCCCGTGCAGAGAGGGTCTGACCCGGTGGGAGGCGCGGCCGCGGCTGTCGGCGCTCGGTTCCCAGCCCAGCCGCGGCCCAGGAAGGCAGCCCGAAAAGCTCAGGGCCATAGCGCGCACAGTGCGCGCCCGCAAGCCCCGGCCCCAAGCCACTTCGCCCGCGGCCGGCGCCGGGTGGAGAGCCGGGACCCGGGCGCATCCCTGCCCTTCTGGCAAGGCACTGCTGGGGCAGGCGGACCCCTGGGCCCTTCACAGGCCCCGCTTCTCCCATGGGCCCGAGGACCCCCGGCGCAGCTCGACCTCAGCCCGGCCACCGCGTCGGGGAAGGCGCGACAGCCAGCCAGACGGCAGCACCCCACACATGCACGGCCTGCCCGGGCCTCTCACCTGCCTGCACCGTGTCCGAAAGGTCGTGCCCGGGGGCAGCGGTCCTGGGAAATTCCTTCAGCTTCCTGGCACTCAGGTTCAGCCCCCCGGAGTTGGCCGCTTCCTCCAGCGCGCGCTCCAGACCCCGGTTCAAGGGCAGGTTGAAGGCCCCCCCGCCGCCGCCGCCGCCGCCGCCCGCCCCTCCGCTGGCTCCCGTCCCTCCGTGGTGGTGGTGATGGTGGTGGTGGTGGTGCGGATGATGATGTGGGTGCAGAGTCGCTAGGGAGAGGGCAGGGACGAAAGGTTGGGGTTCGCTTCCCGGCGTCGCCATCTTCTCCCAGGCCCCCCCGCCCCGGCCCGCCCCGCCGCTCCGCGGGGGGGGGGTCACAGCTTTCCTCGGCACGAAGCCTGGGCTCGGACGGAATCCACGCCGTGCCCGCCCGGAGGACGCCGGAGAGCGGGAGCAGGCTGCGGGCGGGCACGCCGAGCGGGGCGCGGACCCGGAGGTGGCAGCGCAGCTGGGCTGTGAAGGTTTCCTGTCCCCGGGAAGCTGCGGACTGCAGCGGCAGCGGCGGCAGCGCGCATGTGTCTCCTCGCCCGCGCCCTCCTCTCGCCGCTCTCCCCTCCTCCGCCGCCTGTTCTCTCCTCCTCCTGCCTCCGCGCTGTCTGTCCCGCCCGAGCCCGCAATACGGCCCGAAATTGGAGCTGCGCGCCTGCTCTGGTGACTACAGCCACACGCCCAATCCTGCGGGTCCCTTTGGCCTCCCGGGAGGTTTTAGGACACAAAGAATCTTAGATTTTAGGCGAGGCAACGAATGGAATTTGAAATACAGTGAGCTCCAGGGGAGGAGACTTAGCCTGGGTGTTTGACCCAGAGCCCCCAAAGGCAGTTTTCACTATTGGGTTAGCCCCACAGATGGCCCCTGCTCCGGCCTTGGGCGCTTACAGTGAGTCTAGCCTGGTGCCAGTTGAGGTAATATAAATTTTCTCTTTACATCCAGGAGCCTCTAAGTGGAGCTACTGCTACCCTCAGTCTACAGGGAGGAATCACAAAACTTAGCTAAAGTCCTCGCCTCAGTCAGAGGTGCCGCTGGTTTCAAAATCCAGACTTCAGGGTGGCCACCCTTCCCTGTAGGCTACAGGTCTAGACTTCCAGCGCGAACTAACAAGTACAGTGGGGCAGAGTAGTTGATAAGCAACAGTGGACAGCTACAGACCCAGGAAGGAAGGACGTTTAAAAGGGGTCGTTTTTATGGTGGACAGAATACTCTGTCGTATAAACCAGAGTGCCTGGCTATGGCTGAGTGGACCCCAAATTGGGTTGTGCTAGGGCAGGTTAGAAGGCCAGTGACCCAGCGAGCTATTAAGTCTCAGCTTGAGCACGAGCCTAGGCACTGTCAGTGTCCTTGTGCTGCTTCTCCTTGTCCTGTTGGGCACAGCATTCACGTTCTGCCATGCACAACCCATTGTGAGTGCCCATGCCAAGAGAACATCTGTCACCCAAGGACAGACCAGCTGGGAGACTGATAAAGTGTCACTCCTTTCCCAAAGCTTTATCTCCGTCTCTCATACACAAAGCCTTATGGTTCTTATAGGATGATGCCTTGGGGAAATGTGGCTGGCTGGCGGTCAAGTATGAAAACGCTACAGCTTTTGTTGGGGAGGAGTGTGATGGGGAAGTTATCAGGCTGGAACTTGTCACTTCATGGACTCAGCACCTAACTATGTCATTTGCATTGACTGGAGTAGTTGCCCTTAATTCCTGTGAAATTCTTGGTTGAGAACAAAATACAATTTTCTTGGAAGAGACAAGCGCCACCTGCTGGTATCCTCCCAATCTCCTCTCTCCTACCCCTTTCCTCCCAGGCTTTCCAAAAATCAAGCTTCAAAATTAATTATAAAAATAATAAATGAACCCATACTTATACCACTTAAGAATTAACCTACCTTCAACTGTCCCCTCTGATTGTTTCCTTAAAAGTCCAGTGAAAAACAGAAACACGGAAAATTTCAATGTTAAGTCTTCAGTTGGAACTAGTGATCAGATAATGGTGATCAGTATGTGCTTGAGGACATCTGGCCGACTACAAACAGTCCAGATCAAGAATTGTTGGGATACATCATATAGGACTTACCTTTTAAAAAGAAAGCCACTAATCCTTTTAGAGGAAATGATAGTAACATGAGTCTATGATTTTCCTTTTAACAAGTATTCAAGCCCTTGTGTTAGATAGACCTACTTATTGTAGCTTGGTTTACCTCCTACAGATTACTGATGTATACACTCCTCAAGGTAGGCACTTACTCATCTTAGCAACTTCCTCCTGGTATCCCAGAATCTAGGGATGTACCTTGTAAGTCATGAGTGTACAATGAATATTAGTAATTAATTAAGCATTGCACAATAGGCCCCTGTTCTACAGATTGCTATGTGTTTATACATCTTTAAAGTTGCAAATGATTTCCTTGCATGAAGTTCTTCTTTCAGGAGTACTTGACCCTTGAAACTGATCTTGATTATTTCTAAATACTCAAGAAACACAACAAGCCATTTGCCTGGCTGTCTTGCTTCTTCGTAGTTTTTGTTGTTTGGTTTTGGTTATGCTTCGTTTTGTACAGTACTGGGGATTAAACTTGGGAGCACTGAGTTTGAGACAAGGTCATGCTGAATTGGCCAGGTGGGGCTTGAACTTTCAATCCTCCTGTCTTAGCCTCCTGAGTAGCTGAGACTATAGGGATGGCACCACTATGCCTGATTTCAGAGTTGAATGCTCTCTTTATTCCTTATGAAAACAGCATCCTCTTTCAGTTGTACCTTTGCCTCCCTGTGCATCTGGTCCACTGGGAGCAGCCATGTTTTACAACTGGCTATTGTTCCATCCAAAAGTGGACTTCTGACCACGAGACAGAGCACCCAGGAGAGCCTGTCTGTGTTCAGACCTATCTTTCTGGTTCCTGGTTCTTTAGTTTTGGTGAGCTGCCCAGTATATGGTTTGCCCCTCATATCTCTAGGTTCAACATCTCCTGTTTTGGTGTCCTCAAATTCAATCAACTGTGAATCAAATATATTCAGAAAAAAATGTATATATTCTGATCATGAACAGGCATTTTTCTTGATATTATTCCATGAACAATACAATATCAACAACTATTTACCTAGCATTCACATTAAATTAGGCATCATAAATAATCTAGGAGGCTGGGAATGTAGTTCAGAGGTAAAGTACTTGCCTACTTGCGAGTAAAGTGCTTGACCAGATAAGAGTCCCTGGGCTTGATCCCCAGCATTGTGAAAAAATAAATTATAAAAAAGTAATCTAGATATGACCCAAAGTATATGAGAAGATATAGGAATGTATGCAAATACTGTACCATTTTGAAAAAGAGATTTGAACACCCTCAGATTTTGATATACACAGAAGGGGTTCGAGAACCAATTCCCCATGAATACCAAGGGATAACTATATACATAATATATTCTTCTTGTTGCCAAGGTTAATTTTATTTGATTTTCTATCACAGCAAGCAAAAGTTCAAATTAATATATTGATTCTACCATATTTTAATCTTTCTTCTTCCTGTCTCCCTATGTATCCCTATTTCAGTCTAATAATAATCTTTTGCAAACTATTTGAAAGATAGCAGCAGATTTTTCCATTCATCGTTTGTCTTCTGTATCTTCCAATGGCTCTATGAAGTAACGTAATTGAAATTATTGAGTTAAAAGGGAAAATAGAAATATTGTCAGTTCCAGTGTGACTGTTAGGAGAAAAATGATCAAACTCATCAACAAATGAAAAAAATGTAAAGTCATTTTTTTAAATGACTGCTCACCACTCAGTTGGAGCTTGTTCTCATTTATTCATTTCATGATTCCAAAAGGGAAAAGGACCCAGTCTGAGGTTAAAAAAATAAAATCTTCCTGCACTCAGAAAAGATGCCAGGTCATAAACCCTTCCAAATTTAAGACCCACTCCTTTCACTTTTGTTTGAAATATGGAGCTATGGACAAATTTATAAAAAACAAATTTAAACCAGGCATGGTGGCACACCCCTGTATTCCCAGCAGTCGGGAGGCTGAGGCAGGAGGATTACCATGAGTTCAAGGCCAGCCTGGGCTACACAGTGAGTTCAAGGCCAGCCTCCACTACATAGGGAGACCTTGTCTCAAAAAACAAAATGAGACATACAAACAAAAACTTAAGAACGAGAGATAGATCTGGGGGTGGCTGTTCAGCCCATGCCACCTTTTCTGAAAATCTAAGAACTCTCTCTTGGTGGGGATCCAAAGCACTATATGAAGGATGAGCAAGGTCGGCCATGTTTGTTCTTCCTGGGATAGACTGTCCTGTCAGCCAAGGTAACTGGACAAGAGGCAGCCGACACAAGGGCCACTTGTCCAGGCAGATGAAGTCACCCATTTAGACTGTCCACTGAAAATTTAAGCAAAAACAGAAACACCAGAATCAAATGAAAACCATTTTGACCAAAACTGTAGCAGTCAGGACTTTATTTATATCTTTTTTACCTCATCGTCTCTTAACTCTCTGCTTTGCTTTCCTCTTTCCTTAAAAAGAAACAAGAATATTCCTTCATTAATACCACTTTTTCCTGGTTACTCCTTTCACATACTCTCAGTACTAATGCATTCTCTTTGTATTATATCTATGAATATTTATCTGTAAATTATCAGAGTATATTGTATTCATTGGCTTTTAGGTCTTTTTTTTTAACTGTCTAGATGATTCAATAAATAACCTTGTCTGGGATATTTATATGTTTATTACAACTAATACCAACAATGAAAGTATCTCTGAAGAAAATAAATATTACCGTCTTGGACATGTTTCAGAGATTTGTCTTGTGTTCCAAAATAATAATTTGTGAACCAGTTAGTTATTGACAAAGAGACCTTAACAAAATAACAATATCCTAAGTTTCTTATAAGTCTAAATGCATTAAATTTTGAAAATTGTGTGTAATTGTGAGTCTATACTTTTTTTTTTCTGGCATGAAACAAAGCAAAACACAAACCAATGGCAATACAGGTTGAACAACACTAATCTGAACATCTGAACTCCAAAATGTTAAAAAAATCTGAAACTTCTCAAAAGCCAACGTGATGCCACAAGTGGAAAATTCCACAGCTGAACTCATGTAACAGGTAATAGTCAAAACTCCAGAGTACTCAAAATAGTGTATAAAATTGCCTTTAGGCTATCTGTAAAAAAGTATATATGAAACAAATAAATTTTATATGTAGTCTTGGTTCTTATTGCAAAAAAGGGGTACTCAGCCACACATAACTTCTAATATTAATATCTTTTTTAAAAAAAACTAGGTTAGTAGAGTTAACAATTTTAATGTTGTTTATGTATGAAACCAAAACACCTGGAAACTGCATAGGCTGGCTTTTTTTGTTGTTGTAAAATTTTTATTAACATATAATAATCGTGCATATTTATGGGTACAGAGTCTTTTGGTTTTTGTTTGTAGCACCAGGGATTGAACTGAGGGATGCTCTATCACTGAGCTATGTCTCAGACCTTCTCATTTTTGTTTTGAGACAGGGTCTCACTAAATTGCCTAGTCTGGCCATGAATTTGAAGTCCACCTGCCTCAGCC